CACTTTTCATAAGTGACACCACTCGTATTGAAAGAAAATTTGAGTTTCGGTTATAAAAGGGTTATACATTGGTTATATATATTTGTTATATTGGTTATATCTTAGAGCGGAAGTGGAAAATTTTATGCTACATTTTGTAATATGATGTAGTAAATCGTAAGCAAAGAAAACTTAATTTATTTTGATGATACTTTGTTTTGCATTTTTAGTGACGATTTCTAATAATTCACTAAACAAACTATAAAATTATTAAATATAAAACTAGCTTAAAAATATTTAACAACTACAGTTGAATTGCCTTACTAAACTAAAAATATTAAAATTAAAACTTAAATTTTGATTTTTGACTTTTCATTTTGAATTCCGTTCCTCAGAACTAATTATATGGCAAATATTATTACACACTTTTTAAATTATTAAGTACAAAAGCTTGAGCAACATCAACATAACCTAAAAACAAGCAAAGACCTAAGGCAAAAATAAATATACATATAAATAAATATGCATATAAATAAATATTTATAGATATGTGCTAAAGTACGTTAGTACAAAGAAGAATCCTGCATGTGCGCAAACTTAATCCAATATTTTACTTTTTTTGGTTTTCTTAAAGAATTACGCTACTCTATACATTAGTGTCAATATATTACCGTTATTATATATTTTTTAACTATTTTTCATAAAACTCACACACTAATCGCCGCGTGTGGCTAAACGAAAGCGTTTTATAAAACTGTTGCGCAGGCTATTTGATAGTCTTATTAGTTGTTGTTGCTGCTGTTCCGCAAAGTTGCTGCTGCACAACACCAATTGTTGTTGTTGTTTTTGTTAGTTCAGTTTCAATTACAATTTGTGCATTCGTTTCATTTGTTGTTGTAAAATATTGGTGGTTGTGATTTTTGCCGTTGCAGTGACAATGGTTTTGGTGGCGGTGTTGGCGGTGAGGAGTGCCGTTGTTGTGTTTGTTGTGAGTGTTGTGACGTTATTGACGGTTGCCATTTCAGTCGACTTTAAGAATATACAAGTAATTGCAGAAAATATTAGTAAAATTTGGTAAAATTTTCAATACGAAGAGAATATGCATTCGAGCTTTAAATATATAGAAACGAAAAAGGTTATTCACAATGCATAGCATGAGAGGCACTAAAACAAAGCTCGCTGCTTATTTTTTTACAAGAAATAATTAAATCGTCACCTAAATGTAAGCAACGTAACATCACAACATATTTCATAAGTTTACAGGCGAAGGAAAAACGATATAATAGAATAATAGATAATAGAAACTACTCATATCGAAACAAAATTTGAGTTTTGGTTATAATTATACATTGGTTATGCCTGACAGCGGAAACTGAAATTTTTCTACATACATATGTATGAAATATGATGTAGTGAATCGTAAGCAATAAAAAAATCAATTTCGTTTGTTTTGATGTTATGTTGTTTTCCATTTTATGTGACGAAATGTAAGGGTAGGATAACGAAAACTGTATACTATTGACAAATGAGGAATAAATCAAGCATAGTTACCGTTATACATATGTAAAATTATTTATTATTATTTTTTAACTAAGCTACGCGGTCTCTCGAATAAAAACCTGACCTACGCTACATTTTTAAAAGCATTTTTGAGAATACCTATTGCGCAAAATTAATATGAATTCTGCAAGTGATATGAGCTTACTAAGTTGTCTGGAAAAATTGCCACTTAAGTGGTTACATGGCTTCAAAAAACAAAAAAATATTATTGTTTTATTTAATACCTCTAGAATATTTTTCGAATTTCTCAAGATGGTCCGGAAAATAATAATGGAGATACGGCATGGCCTTGAAAAGTTGCTCGCTCGAGTTGAGCTAAAACTTTGAACGCGTTTTTCTCGAAATTGACTTTTCAATTACAAATATTTCAAAAATAAAATAAATTAATAAAAAATAAAATAAAAAAATACTAAGAATAATATACTTTTTTTTATTTTTAAACTAGAAATTTTCACAGAAATTTTCATTATTTTTATAAAAAAAAAAATCTGCCAAAATGCAATTTTCAGTTTTTTGCTTTTCCTTCGTTTAATACCCAGTTTGTGGTCTTAAATAAAACACATATTTTTCTTTTCAAGCCTCATTTTTTCATCGGGGTGCCCTTAATGACGTCCTAATGACCGCATTTTGAATATTTTCCTTTGAAAACTGCACAAAATCTTTGAACATTGAATAGAATTCTTCTTTTTTATATGAAAAAGAAATATTCAAAATACGTGACCACGTAACCCCTTCAATTAAACTAAGTTAATATTTTATCGATCACACTGAATATTTTTCGGGCTTTTCTGTTAATTGGAGAGTAACAAAAATTGACTCTCTCAGAAATGCGATAACTTCTCAAAGTATACCAATAAGTACGCGGTAAGCAAAAAGCCTATAAATCCACAGCCATCGTTACACTGTAAAAACATATTTTTTATATATTTTTGCAAAGACCGTTATTTTATGTATGCATAGGTATATTCCGGGTATAAATAGTGAAATGGTCAAAAAATAACATATCTTCTAATTATATAAATTTTTAATAAATACTAAAGATTTTCTTTTAACATAAGTTGTTTTTGCTATCCATGTCTATAAGGAACGAAAGCAAGGCATCATATTCGACGTCACAATGTGGAAGCAACAATGTCGAAATATTGCAGTTATTTGCTTACTCGAACATCCCTACAGTATACTCTTAATATTTTTGCTGTGTTTATTTTTTGTTTTTTCTTCCTGCCGCTCCCCTGATTTTTTTTTTTACTTTATTCATAGCACTTCGTGAACACACTTTATGAATTGAAATGAAAAAGCTTAAAAATATTACAAAAAGTACAAAATAAGATAAAGATATTTAGCGAAAATAAAACTAAGAAATTAATATTTTATAAATTGTTTTTTATTTTTTACATTTGTTTTTTGTTTCTCTAATTTTTAATTAACTGCAATAATATATTTAACTTGTACCCATAAGTACGAGTCTATATGGAATTATAAACTTAAAAAATACCAATAATTTTAAGTTTTTGGAAATTTCGATAAAAATATAAATAAAGACAATTCGTACACGTGAAAACAGAAAAAATATAAAGCAAGGCAAAAGACACAACAGCAAAGCAAAGTTTGAATAACAAAAAAAATTATTAAAAAAAACTTTATTTAAAATTTTTTTTTAATATTTTTCGAAAATTTAAGTGTAAATTTGGCGAAGAAACTCAGTGCTGACACTAGTGACCAAGAAAATAGTAACGAAAATGTTTTCGAAATCATTACTAAACGAAAAAATATACATATGTATTTACATTAGAGTGGTTCGACTTTTTTTTTATAAAAAGTATATATTTTTTCAATGTGAAAAGCACTTACTCTTCAATCGCTAAATTACCTTACTGTTTATCGTAATGCTTAGGAAAGCTGCTAGTTGTCAATCAGTCAGTGTTCATTTAGCTGCTTGAATTTAACTCAAAGGCTTGTAAAAAATTTGTTTCTGAGCATAAATTTTTTTTCTAAGCAAAAAAGTTTTTTTTATGACAAATTTATAGTTTTCATTTGAATTTTTCAACTCTTTCGTAAATTTCAATATTGCTTTTGTTTCTTGAGTAAGAAAATTTCGCTTAAGTATACGCAAAGTATGTATGTGTGTATTTGCTGCACTTTAGTTTACCGTTATAGTAGGCATTTTTACTTTTTTTTTTAGTTTTTGTTAGCTTTTTTTTGTTTTTCTTTGTTTTGACTTTGCCACATATTAGTTTAATCTTTGTTAATACACATTTCGAAACTTAATTTAAGCGAAAATAAAATAAAATAATTTACATGTTATATATAACTAAAGCTTAACAACTTACACTAACTACGCCCCTGCAACTTGGTATGCATATCTGTGTATATGTATGTAATACTTATTTGTATATTTGCTTTTAAATAAGAATGTAATATTAGTATGGAATTAACAGCATGTACACTGTGCGAAGACTTCACTTATCTTTAACTTTTTTATTTTATTTTTATTTAAGAAAAACATTTTTTGTTTAATATTTTTTAATTAA